GGAGCTTCCTCTGGGTCTCCCATGTGGGTGCAGGGGCCCAAGGACTTGGGCCATTTTCCACTGCTTTCCCAGGCCATAGCAGAGAGCTAGATCGGAAGTGGAGCAGCCAGGACTTGAACCAGTGCCCATATTGGATGCCAGCAAGGCAGGCCGCGGCTTTACCAGGTATACCACAGCACTGGCCCCTTGTTTTTTTATTTTTTAGGTTTATCTTTAGTTATTTGAAAGGCAGAGTTACATACACACAGAGAGAGAGAAAGAGAGAGAGAGAGAACGTTTCCATTTGCTGGTTCACTCCCCAGATGGCTATAACAGTTGGGGCTGGGCCAGGCTGAGGCCAGGAGCTTCATCTGGTTCACTCGTGGGTGCAGGGGCCCAAGCACGTGGGCCATCCTCTGCTGCTTTCCCAGGCACATTAGCAGGGAACTGGATCAGAAGTGGTGCTGCTGGGCCTTGAACTGGCATCCATATGGGATGCTGGCATTGTAGGCAGTGGGTTATTCTGTGCCACAGCACTGGCTCCTATTTTTTTTTTTTGAGAGGCGGATAGAAAGAAACAGGCAGGTGTCTGTCCTCTGGTTCACCTCCCAAATGCCTGCAAAAGCTGGGCCAGGGCCAGGCTGAAGCAGGAACTCAATTCAGGTCTCCCATGTGGGTGGCAGAAGCCCAATTCCTTGAGCCATCACTGCTGTCTCCTAGGGACTGCATCAGCAGGAAGCTGGAGTCAGGAGCCAGAGCTGAGAATCAAACCCAGGCACCCTGATGTAGGACACATGTGAACTTTTTTTTTTTTTTGGAAGATTTTATTTATTTATTTGAAAGGCAGTGTTACAGAGAGGCAGAGGCAGAGAGAAAGAGAGAACTTTTCACCCACTTGTTCATTCCCCAAATGGCCGCAACGGCCGGAGCTGGGCTGATCCGAAGCCAGGAGCCAGGAGCTTCCTCCGGATCCCCAACACAGGTGCAGGGGCCCAAGCACTTGGGCCATCCTCCACTGCTTTCCCCAGCCACAGCAGAGAGCTGGATCGGAAGTGGAGCAGCCAGGACTCGAACCAGTGCTCACGTGAGATGCCAGCACTGCAGGCGGCGGCTTTACCCACCACACCACAGCACTGGCCCCAACACACGTGGCTTAACTACTAGGCTACACACTTGCTCGGAAGTCAGTTTTAATGGGAACGGACTTTTTGTTGAGGAGGATGGAGAATTTTTCAGTACAAATATAGTGATGGTTACAACATCGTAAGCTCAGTTAATACCACTGATGGCCAGCTGCACACTTACGAATGGCTGACAAGATAAATGTTATGTTACCTACATTTTACCACGTTAGAAAAAAGCAAGTGCCAGGGTGGCATGTTTCTCCCCTCCAGTGCCCACCCCCATGGGGGGTCCCCTCCAGCCACTTCTAGTGTTGTGTTGACATGCTGGGCAAGTCTGTGAGGGAGACCCCAGGGAGCAGTGCCAAATGCACGAGACCCTGCAGGGGCCCTGCAGTGGGACCACTAGGGGAGGTGGACAGTGTGAGGGGCTGGCCCCAGCCACCACGGGAGCCGTCAGTCCACCTGTCAGTTGTCGGGAAGGCTGGAGGAGCTGCTGCAGGCACCGTGGGCCCTGGGATGTGCTCTTTGCTCCTGTTAACCTCCTGCTTTGTGGGAGAGAAATGGAAGCGAAGGGGCAGGAAAGAGAGCGAGTCTCTCTGGGTTTCTCCAGCTTGGAAAACGCTTTACCAAGTGACATCACAGAAAGCCCTAGAACCAGGCTGCCTGGTAGAGCGACAGGCATGGCTGCTGGCGGCGTCCTTGCCTATTACAGCCTCCTGCCGGTGGCAGGACACGCCAGACCCTGGCCACCTGGAGTTGATGCCTGAGAGTGGACAGGAGGAGAGGTGGGCGTTTGGATTTCCTAGGCGCAAGCCGGGGACCTGCCAGCATGCTGACGTCAGCGCATCCTGCACATGGAGCCCAGAGCAGCTGCTGTGGAGATGAACTGTGAGCCCCAGGAGCAGCAAACAGCAAAACTGCAGCAGCCGTCCTGGCTCTGGGTGGACGGGGCTGAGTCCCTGGCGGTCAGGGAAACAGAGGCAGGAGGGGGTGGGGCTTGTGGATTGTGCCCACCATGCAGACGGGTGAAGATGGGGGGCTGCTGATCCTGCTCCATCCTGAGTGTCGGGCTGGACCACGTGCGGCTCTACAGAAATCGGGGTTCACACCCCTTGCTTTACAGCAGGGGACCCTGGAGTGTGGAGGAGCGGAGTTCCTTGTCCTCAGGTCTGGTTGGGGTCCAGGTGAGTCCCGGACCTGAGTCTGGCTTCGTATGGCTGGTCTCTGAGGGCGGGTCTGGGGCGTGTGCCAGGCTGAGGTCTCTCCCTTGGCGGCCTGAGTGCCAGTCCTCAGCAGCTTTCTAGGTCTTGTCTGTGACTGAGTGTGCCTGCTCCTATGTGCCCCTCATTCTGACCGCCCCTTGAGACTCTCTGCTGTGACCTTGGTCTCCACTGCACCGGACCCCTCCCCACACCATCCAAGGCAGTGAACACTGGGCAGATGCTCAGTCTGTCCTGGACCCTAGGGGCCCTGTGGCCAGCTGGGCTGCGGAAATAAGGCTGGAAAGGACCTCATGAGGCAATAGAGGAGAGAGGGGACCCCAGGAGCAGGCCAAGGTAAGGCCCCGCCCCTCTAGGCCAAGTGTGCACCAGCTTTGCCCAGAGAGAGACACCTGAGCTGGAGCTGTCACCTGTCCAGCTGCTGACAGGTGCACTGAGAGGCGAGAGCAGTGCATCAGCTTCCCCGAGAGGCTCTCGTTTCTATCGTCACTGACAGAGGTGCCAGCCCAGCCCCATTTCCGTCCAGCAGGTGGAGTTCATCCCATCTGTGCCTCCCTCACAGAAGGAGAACGAGGGGAAGCCGTTTTTACCCGACCCAACTGGATCTGGGCCAGAGATTAGATACGTGGAAGCCCTGGGCCACGGCCAGGGCTGGAGTTGTAAGGAGGCAGGTGCATAAAATACGAAGGCCCTGGTGAGGTTTCCCACGGACAGCTGTCGTAGGAGGCAATGAGCTCTCCGTCTCTGGGAGAGTTCCAACAGGGACCAGAAGATTCCTTGGCAGAGTCACTCATCCGCCCGATACTTTTCATTCATCAAATTATTGCCTGTTGATTCAACCGTGAGCAAGATAGAAATGGCTCGTGGCCACACAGTGCTGTGATGGGGAAGTACTAGGGACTACCGGAGCGGGATGGAGGGGGTGTGACCCAGGCCTGGCAGTCAGGGAAGGTTTCCTGGAGGAAGCAGCTCAAAGAGGACATGGGTGGAGAAGAGAAATTCCAGAAAGAGGGGGCAGCCTGCATGAAAGGTCAGACAGAGCCTGACCCAGATCCCCCCAAAGCCATGTTGGAATGGAGCGCTCAGGACTTGCAGACGCTGGCATCCCATATAAATCACTGCTGTTCTACTTCTGATCCAGCTCCCTGCCAATGCACCCGGGAAAGCAGTGCAAGGTGGCCCAAATGCTCCTGGCTTTGATCTGGTCCAGCCCTATTCATTGTGGCCATTTGGGGAGTAAACCAGCAGTTAGAATCTCTCTCCTCTCTCTGTGTAACTCTGCCTTTCAAATAAATACACAATTCTTAAAAACAAAGCATACAAAAGACTCCTGTCTTGTGCCAGGGCTGTTGCCTGAGCCAGGCCCACCCTCGCCCCAAGGATTTGCTTTCTCTAAGGGGCGTGGCCCACACCCAGCCCATTTTCGTTATTACATGGCGCTGGCATCTTCGCTGTCTCATGCTGTCTTTGGGTGTGTGGCTGTGAGCAGAAGCGTTTAAAAATGGGTTTCAACCAGGCTTTGCCACCTTGCTGGTCCCTCCATGCCCCTTGGAAACTGACAGTAAAATACTGTTGCTTGGCAGGTGGGTGCCAGGCAAACCTCACCAACCCCGGCCTCTGCCCCTTGACAACGACTCCATGCAGCCAAGTCCCCGCACATCTAGGAAGCTGCCCTGAATCTTGCCCCAACCCTGTGGGCCTGCATGCCGATGCCTGGCTCCAGCCACGGGCACACAGACCGTTTCACTTTAACTTGGGAATCAAAGGTCTTGGGCCTCCTGTGTGCCAAGCCCAGGAGGCCCTCCAAGACTCCCCTGTTAGAGCCACTGCCCTTGCCCTTCAACTTGCGAGATGGGGGGAGCTTTGCAGTCAGTGCCAGTGGATACTGTAGAATGCAGGGTTTGCAAAACTGATAGCCTCGGGTCAGGGCCGGCCTGTGTTCGTGTCCCCATGAGCCTATGCTGTGGATAGCCGCAGGGGTTTATTTTCACCAGGTCCAGTTGGGATGTGTGGTTATTCTGGGAAAGCAGGAGCCTGCGTAGCACTGGGCCCCCACGCCTGGCTGGAGCAGAGCTCTAGCCGCCCCTTTGGGCATGAGACCCATGCAAGCCAGGCCACCACAGTCCTCGCCATTCCCTGTTGTCTTGCCTCCAGGAGCTGGATGCCCCACAGTTCATGCATGGGTTCTCTGATCAGAGAGTTAGGGAGGTAAGAGGTTTTGAGCCCCTATGTTTGCATCCCAGGTAAGAATCAGCTTCCGTATGTTACCTGCCTGCCCGCCTTGGCATGTGGGTTGCTGATGGGGAAGCTAACCCTGGGGATGTGTTTGGGCCCTGTGTTCTGCTCTGCCACAGCACCCCCATTATGGCTGCTCCCGCATCGTGTGGATTGGCTGCTGTCAAGCTGTGCGTGCACTTGACCTGAGAGGCAACGTGTGCCACACAAAGGAGCCAACGGAACAAGTGAGGCAGAAGGGTTAGATCTACAAGGATGAAGCCTTGCTCCCTGGAGAGCATTGCAAGAGAAGGGCCTCTGAGGACGAGCTCTGGGCAGTGTGGAGGGAAGGGCTCCTGGCCCCTGCCTAACTCTGCTGGTAGCTATTTGTGTGTGGCAGGGCCACGGCAGAGGCCACGGCCTCTGAACTCAGACACCTCAAGGAAAAAGTTGGAGCCTCAGTTTTCCATCCATTTAATGAGAATAAACAGACTGGCCCGGGCTTCCATAGTGAGAGCCCCTTTCAGTCTGAGTATCTTGGGGCCTCCTAGAGCTCACTGCTGTCACCACACAGCCCCACTCCGGTTCCCAGGGGGCTCCCCCAAAAGCCCCTGGGGGGCATATTCCAGGCAGGTTTCCCCTCCCAGGTGGGGCAAGCATATGGCACGGTAGAGGAACCTCAGATGGCCATGGTTCAGGTTGCAGCTCACCATATGTGAGCCCGACTTCGGAGACTGGTCACAGGTGCCAAGGAGGTCGTCATCCCAGCCATAGTCCGCATCCCAGACCTGCACCCTGAGGGGTCCCTGTCCGGCCAGGGTCACGTCCCCGAAGTCCAGGCGTGTCGTCCACCTGGGATTGTTGTTGTTCCACACGGTGTCCGTCCTCATCTGCTGGTCACCGAAGAAGACCTTCACATAGGCATCCGTGGCCGTGATCCAATCCCCCCACAGGCCTGTGGCCTGGAAGTTCATGACCTCCAGCCGGGCCAGGCCCCGCTTCCGTGGACAGCAGTCCTGACTGGTGACCTCTGAGCTGGAGCACTGGCACTCGCATGGGTTGTGGGGATTCTTCTGCTGCCCTGGGGGGCAGGGCCGGCTGCAGTCCCTCCAGCGTGCCCTGCCCATCAGGTACTTGCTCACTGCCTGCCTCAGAGCCTCCCGCCGCGGGTCCTGGCTCTCCAGGAGCAGGTGCAGGGGCTCCAGGCTGTAGTCCACCAGGCCAGGGCTAGCGGAGAGTGAGGCCACCCAGGCGGAGAACTGCTCAGGCCCGGCCTGGCGCCCAAACAGCAGGTCGTGCATGGAGGTGTGGTGGCCGCCAACCACTTGGGAGTGGCGTTCATGGAAGGTCTGGTGGAAGGAGGTGGTCATCTTGTGCTTCTGCTTCTTGTCCTGGCAGGCCTTATACTCAGAGGAGGTGCTGGCCTGCCCGCCGATGCTGACCTGGGCCTCCACCGTCAGGCAGTCCCCCACCTCATCGGTTGTGAACCCATCCAGGACCAGCTGGCAGGTGCGCAGGGCGGTGAGGGCTGAGATGCGGCCGCCCAGCTCCACGGCCCGGATGAAGTGGGTGCCATAGTTGGTGATGAGCCTGTGGTAGTAGGGCTCCGTGGAGGTGTTGAAATCGGGGGGCAGGTCCCTGAGGGCCCTGCTGAAGTCAGGGTGCAGCGGGGGCTTGTGCACCAGGTGAAAACTGAGTGGGGAGAGAGAAACCTCAGGTGGGGCCACAGACAGTAGTGTTTTCCCCATACAATAATGGTTGTCCCAGGGCACATGGGAGTGAGCAGAACACACCAAGGTTCTTCCCTCCTTATTTTCCTATTATAAGAGCAATGACAGGGGTTGGCTTTGTGGTGCTGTGGGTTAAGCATCCCATGTGGGTGCTGGTTTGTGCTCTGGCTGCTCCACTTCCAATCCAGCTCCTGCTAATGCACCTGGGAAGACAGCAGAGGATGGCCCAAATGCTTGGGTCTCTGCACTCACATGGGAGACTCTGATGGAGTGCTAGGTTCCTGGCTTTGACCTTGCCCAGCCTTGGCCGTTGTGGCCATTTGGGAGTGAACAAGGGGATGGAAGATCTCTCTGTGTCCTTCTCTCTCTCTCTCTTTCTCTCTCTCCCTGTGCCTTTCAAATAAATAAATAAATACTTTTTTTTTTAAAGTAGTGATGCTGCCCTTGTGGTAGATGTCCATCTGGCTTTTTTTTTTTTTTTGGACAGGCAGAGTGGACAGTGAGAGAGAGAGACAGAGAGAAGGTCTTCCTTTGCCGTTGGTTCACCCTCCAATGGCCGCTGCGGCCGGCGCGCTGCGGCCGGCGCACCGCGCTGATCCGATGGCAGGAGCCAGGAGCCAGGTGCTTTTCCTGGTCTCCCATGGGGTGCAGGGCCCAAGCACCTGGGCCATCCTCCACTGCACTCCCTGGCCACAGCAGAGGGCTGTCCTGGAAGAGGGGCAACCGGGACAGAATCCGGCGCCCCGACCGGGACTAGAACCCGGTGTGCCGGCGCCGCAAGGCGGAGGATTAGCTTAGTGAGCCGCGGCGCCGGCCCCATCTGGCTTTGGAACCTATTGTGTGACCTGCACCATTCTGTCCCCTATGAAGCCCCATATGCCCGGGCTCCTGACAGCTGTGGAGAAGACAGGACCTATAGTTGTGTGACTCAGAGCGAGTGATTTGGGGTCAGCTGTGGCAAATGGGGCTGGACATGGCTTCCAGTCCCAGAAGCCAGGTATACGTGATGCAGGACCCTGCTCCCCAGCACCGGGGCAGTGACTGCTGTCACTCGCCAGTGCAGCCTGGACACAAGGCAGACATGAGTGTCAGTTGAATGACTGAGGCCCGAGGAGGAGAAGCGAGATGCCCAGAGCCACACGGCGCTAAGGAGGGATAACTCGGGCAGTCCTTCCTTGCCCGTATCGAGGAAGGACCCTGTGGAGGACTGGCAGTGCCCAGGAAGAAGGGGTTGGGGCTCTGGGGCGTGATCTTGCCCTCGTCCTCCATCTGGGCACTCACAGGTTGGGGCCCTCGTGGATGGGAGGAGGCCCCAAGGGGTCTGAGAACCTGGGTTGCAGTTTCCTCCTTCTGAGCCCCCACCCCGCCATGCAGAGGTCGTGACGCCTCCTCCCAGCCCTCACCTGTACAAGCGACACTCCACTGAGTCCGTGTTGAAGCTGTACTGGTCCTGGTGAGTCTTCTGAGCTGCGAAGTTGGCCTCCTGGGAGTGTGAGCCGGCCACGGACATCTGGACATTGCTGCTGGGCTTGGGATTCACGTCCAGTCCCACTCGCCAGTCGTTTTTGATGCTGTTAGCCGCGTCCCGGGCCACCTCCTCCGTGGAGCTAACTTTGGCCCTCGCCACGTGGCGCTGGCAGCCGGAGCCTTGGGCACGCCAGTGGGTGAATGCCAGGGGCAGGTACTGCAGGGCACCCTGCTGTAGGAGGTTTTTACAGAGGGTACAGGTGCCATCGGGCCTCAGGAACCTGCGTGTGTCCACCGGGAAGGAGCCCGAGCGCCGGAGGCTGGTCACATCCACACCTTCTCCGGCCAGCCACGCTCCGGGCACAAACCTGCGCACACGTTTGCACTCTGAGCGTGCAGCTGTGTAGCAGGGGGCCGGAGTGGGCGGGGGCAGCAGCAGCAGGAGGAAGCCCGGGAGGAGCAGGCCGGTCGCCATGGAGCTGATGACAGGGGCGTCTGGGCTGTGGAAGCTGTGGTTAGGGGGATGGAGGATGGCTGAGTCGTGCTCTCTGCTTTGCATCACTGGGGCGTGGGGCAAGCAAGGGACTGAGCCATCTCTAAAGTCGTTGGATTTGGGGGCTGGAATAGGCCCCACAGGCCTGACCCACCCCACACTGTTAAATGGGACCAGAGAGAGGGAGTGCCTTGCCCAGGGTCACACAGCCGGGAGGTGCCCCTGGCTAGGATTTATCTAACTAAAGCCTAATGGGGATCTAGAGGGAGGTCTCCCCAGTGCTGCACCTGCTGCCGATGAGGAGGGGGCTCTGGCCACAGGAGGGACAGAGTGGTGGTAGCAGGTTTAGGGAAGGGCTGAGGGCCTGGGGAGTCATTTTTAACCCCAGCACAGGCTGCATTTCCCCACTGCCATGCTCCTTCTGTTCCAGTCTCTCCTGCTGAGCTGCTAGCAGAACTGGGATCAGGCCTCACCCTTGTTCTCCCCGGTTTCCCTTTGGGGCCCTCGCTGGGAGCCTCAGGGAGGAGTGTCAGGCTGCAGTCTGCCGCTCTGCCTGCACCTGTTGGTCCAGCACACACAGGACCCTAGAAGTTTGTCATTCAGAGCCTCTCCCCTGCCCAAGTCTCCTCCCAGGCCTGGCTGTGACAGGGACCTGCCTGATGCCTGCTCCTGCTAAAGGCTGGCTAGCAGGTGCCTGCTTGTTTTAAAAGGAAGCTGGGGCCTGCCCTGGGTCCGTTCTCTCCTCTCTGCCCCGACCCAGACATGGCTCCCAGGAGGCCTTGCTCTGGGCAGTAGTTTTGAGCAGGAGCATCCTGGGCACTTCCTGCCCATCAGGCTCCCCTCCCTCCCCCACAGGACTTCGCAGCCTCCCTGCCCCCGCCTCCTTCCTACCTGGAGTAGACGGAGAGAAGCCCCTGCGCAGGCACGCTCGCTCCCCACCGAGGGCTTTTGAAGTGTTGGCCTTCCTATGCACAGCCCCTCACGGGGCTGGTTCACATCACTGCTGCTTCCTGCCCCGCCCCTAGCGGTGGCCACAGGTCCCACCAGCACACCCCCTGTCACCAGCTCCTCATCCGGCCCTGCTGACAACACTCAAGGAAGAAGCTTCAGGGCTCCTCTGCCCAACAGAACTGCACTGGGAGTGGGGACCCAGGGCCAGCAGGTGGAGGGGGCGCTGGGCTCATAGGACTTTGTACTTCATTGTCAGGGCTGAGCTACAGGCCGGCAGGGCCACTGCCCTGCTCTGACTGCGTCTGTAGGATGACCTGGGCACTCCATAGTGGGAGCAGGGTGCGGCGGTGTGGGAGCCAGGCCACCTGGGCTTGTGCCAGCTCTGGTATGTACCAGCTTTGTGGCTAGGCAAATGGCTTCTCTACCTCAGTTTCCTCATCAAACAATTGGGGATAATGTGAATGTACACCCCAGAGGCGGTTGTGAAGATGAGGTGTGTCGGTCACGTCAGGTGCTTAGAGCTGTGCCTGCCCTCGGTGCTGTCCATACGTGTGGCCGCCGCCTCTTCTCTGAGCAGTGAGGGGGAAAATGTTGTTCAAACCTTGCACCCACTTCCTGCCCACCCTCCCTCTCAGCCCAAGCTCTGACCCCCAAATACATTCCTGGGATAGGACCCCTGTCCCCACTTTCGTGAGGGCATCAGTGGCTCCCACACTGGCCCCAGGCCTGGCCTGAGGGTGCAGGTGCAGGTGAGAGAGATCTGGTGGGACCAGAGGCTGGGGTGGGACCAAGGTCGGTGGGGGGGTGGGGGATGGTGTTTCCCTGGGTGGAGTGACTCATGGAGCACATTTTAGGGGACAAGTGGGCGAGGGGGCCCCCTTCTTACCATCTCCAGCTGTAGGCGCAATGGGGACAAACAGCCGCAGGCCTGGACCACGTGTGACCTGTGTCTTGTGGGTCACATCTTGAGGTTCATCCCTTCCGTCTGGGCCCCCACCACCGCCCTCTTACAGGAACAGGGCCCCGTGCTGCCTTCTGGGAACCCGGCCCCGTCCTTCCCGCTCGCTTCCCGGTAACCATATCCCCCTGAGCCCCCTGAGCCCCCTCCAGCTCCCGCCCGAGGCCCTGAGGAGCTTCGGCCCTGTGCCTGAGTGGAAGGCCAGTATGGGTCACAGAAGCTCTGCACCTGCAGGGAAGAGACAGTTTCTGCACAGGGCCCAGTCCCAGCTTCACCAGAAACTGCCGCGCGGCTCTCTGTAGATGTTTTAAACTTACCCCTTCTGAACCGTAGTTTGTTCTGTAGAACTGGAGACAGTGTGGCGGGTGTATGGCTTTGTGACTAAGCTGCTGCTTGGGACATCTGCCTCCCCCATGCCACGTCGGGGTGCCGGTGATTCCAGCCTCCTGCTAATGCAGACCCTGGTGGCTCCACACTCGGGTTTCTGCCACCTGTGTGGATTGGGTTCCCAGCTCCTGGCTTGAGCCTGGCCCAACTCTGGCATTGCAGGCTTTATGGGGAGAAAACCAGCAAATGAGAGTTTTCTCCCCACCCCTCCCTTTCAATAAATAAATATTAAGTAAAATCAAAGAGGGGACTTTAGCATTCCAGACACTCTTTCTAACTCACGAGCAAGGTGCCTTTAGCAGGTGTTGAGGGGCTTGTGAGAAGGCTCGTGTTCCAGGGGTGCCCCTGTGGCTGGGCCATGATGACACTGACGTTTTCAGCTCTTTTTGGCTGGTACAACTGATGGCCGCTGCCCTGTCCGGTTGAAACTTAACGCCAGCAACGTGCCAGCACATTGCTCCCAGAGACGCGCGTCCTAGCAAGTGTACGATTCATTTGTTCAGTGGCCGGACACCAACGATGCGGCTTTTTATGAACAACGGTATCGAGATGTCCTTCACATACCATGTAAGTGACCCATCTAAAGCAGGGGACGCAATGGCTGGGGTATGTCCAGAGACGTCCACCCACTGCCACAGCCAATATTCGAGCGTTTTCGCCACCTCCAAAAGAGAAACCCCGGACTCACTGGAGGAGCTTGCTCCCCTCCAGTGCTGCACTCAATGGCGTCTCCTGTGTTGACCCTTTCACACAAATGGAATCATTCATGATCTGCGCTGGGCTTATCTCACCAGGGCTGGTGTGTTGCAGCGTGAATGAGTACTTCGTTCCACTTCGTGGCTGCACAGTGCTCCGTTGTATGCACACAGCATGCTCTGTTTACCCATTCAGCAGCCTCCACTTCTTGGCTGTCATGAACGATGCTGCACTGAGCACTTTAGCAGAAGGTTTTGTGTGCACGTGTGCTTTTATTTGCTTTTGGGGGTATCGGAATGCAGCTGCTGGGTCACGGGTACCCCCAGAATGCTGTTAGGAGTCGTTTGCCCAAGTGGCTGCCCCATGGTCCCCCCAGCAGTGTCTGATGTGGTTCCCCACATCCTCCCCCTCCTCGTTTTTATCTCGCTGTCTTATTACAGACATTCTAGCAGGTCTGAAGTGGCCTCTCTCTGTGGTTCTGATTTACATTCCCTGAAATCTTTTCACGTCCTTATTGGCCATTTGTGTATCTCCTATGGAGAAATATCTAAGTCATTTGCTCATTTAAAGAATTTATTTACTTACATATTTGAGAGGCAGGGAGAGAGAGAGAGAGAGAGGGACAGACAGAGAATGCTCCCATCCACTGGGTCACTTCCCAGATGTCTGCAGCAGCCACGGACTGGGGCAGGGGCTGAAGCTGGGAGCCAGGAGTTCAGATCTCCCATGTGGGTGGCAGGAACCCAAGTACATGAGCCATGACTGTTGCTTTCCAGGATCTGCATTAGCAGGAAGCTGGAGTTAGGAGCTGGAGCAGGGCACAGAACTGTGTGGTGTAGAGACTCGGACGTGGCACGTGCTTGCTGTGGCTGAATTGTGGTCCAGAGACTCGGACGTGGCACATGCTTGCCATGGTTGAACTGTGGTCCATGGGCTCGGACGTGGCATGTGCTTGCCGTGGCTGAACTGTGGTCCATGGGCTTGGACGTGGCATGTGCTTGCCATGGCTGAACTGTGGTCCATGGGCTCGGACGTGGCATGTGCTTGCCATGGTTGAACTGTGGTCCATGGGCTCGGACGTGGCATGTGCTTGCCGTGGCTGAACTGTGGTCCAGGGACTCGGACGTGTCACCTGCTTGTCGTGGCTGCTCTGCTGAGCACCTGCTCTGTTGCTTGTCATCTCAGTGTCTTACTTAAGAAGACCCTGCCTAACACAAGGGTATGTGGATTTGCTCCTGGGTCTTCCTCCAAGAGTTTTATAGCTCTAGCTCTTACATTTAGCTCTTCGATCCCCTGGGAGTTAATTTTGGTGTATGGAAAAGGGTCTGACTTCCTTTTTCTGCAGGTGGATATCCAATGTGGTGTCGATGTTTTCAAGTTACTGTATATCTGCCCTGACGCCAAAGCTCCATAGAGCCTTGCCATGGTTTGAACGCTTGCGCCCCTTCAGCATTCATGTAAAGTTTAATCCCCAGTGCAGTAATCCTAAGAGATGACGCCATAAGGAGGGGATGGGTGCCTTTGCAGAGGGCTCGAGGGAGTCTGTTGGTCCCTGTGGCCCCTCTGCCGCGTGGGACTCAGCAACACGGTGCTGCCCAGGAACCCGAGGGCAGCACTCAGTGGACAAATGCCCCTGCGGGTGCCTGATCGTGGACTTGCCAGCCTCCAGGACCAGGGGGATACATTTCTTTTTCTTTTTTTATTTTTGACAGGCAGAGTGGACAGTGAGAGAGAGAGACAGAGAGAAAGGTCTCCCTTTGCCGTTGGTTCACCCTCCAATGGCCGCCGTGGCCGGCGCGCTGCAGCGGGTGCACCACGCTGATACGAAGGCGGGAGCCAGGAGCCAGGTGCTTCTCCTGGTCTCCCATGGGGTGCAGGGCCCAAGCACTTGGGCCATCCTCCACTGTACTCCCTGGCCACAGCAGAGAGCTGGCCTGGAAGAGGGGCAACTGGGACAGAATCCGATGCCCTGACCGGGACTAGAACCCGGTGTGCTGGTGCCGCAAGGCGGAGGATTAGCCTAGTGAGCTGCGGCGCCGGCCACATTTCTATTCTTCATGTTACCCAGGCTGAGGCATTTTATTAGAGCGGTGGGAATAGACACTACTCTACACAGAGTGCATGAGTTGGGAGGATGTTTAGTCTGGTGGTTAAGACGCTGATTAAGGTGTTTATGTGCCTGGGATGGGGTACCTGGGGTTGGATGGAGTACCTGACTTTGAGGCCCAGTTCTGCTTCCTATTCTTGCTAATGTGCACACTGGGGCAGTAGGTGATTGTTCAAATAGATGGGTTTCTGTTACTCAGCTCCCGGCTTCAGCCCTGGCCTACCCCAAGTCATTGCAGGTGTTTGGGGAGTGAACCAGTGTAAGAGAGCTTTACGTGCTCACTCTCTCTCTCTCTCTCAAATTAAAAAAAAAAATGCACGAAGGGCATATTGATCCTGATTGCATCTACTTATCTATCTATCTATCTATCTATCTATCATCTATCTATATAGTGCTCGCTACCTAAACTAGTCACGTACCGTAATCAGAGGTCTTTTGACAAAGCAAATGTTTGGAGCATAATTATTGCTTCATATGCGGCCATAGATGCTGTTGTCTTCCTGCTGTGGTAATTGTCTGGTTCCTTTTCTCTACAGGTCTGTGAAACTTTGGGGTTCTTCTTCCTCACCCCTCACATGTGTTACCCACATTTCTGCTCGCTTCACCTGTAGTCCCCTGAAGTGAGTTGCAGGCTCTTTCCTCTCTTTCCATCCCGTGGAGGGAGAGCCTGGCCCTCCATCCCACACTTGGGCAGACCTCTGACTCCTGAGCCCATTTCTTC